TTGCATGCTGATGGCAGCAGACGATGGGGAGCCCTGACTACAAACGTGTCGGAGTCATTCAACGACTTGTTGAAGTCTGCCCGTGGACTGCCTGTCACTGCCATGGTCCGCATGACATTCAAACAGAGTGCGGAGAGGTTTGTTGAAAGGCATGCAGCTGCATCGGCATTGATGGATAGGGGTGTTCAATTTATGCCAATACCCATGAGAAGATTTGAAAGGTCCAGGAGGCGAGCACAGTGGCATTCATTTCTTCAGTACGATCATGAACGGGGTATTTTTGAAGTTAAGACCGCTATCCGCGGACACCGTGGGAATAATCTACAGACGGTGAATGAAAATAGAAGGTTATATTCATGTGGGAAATGGACCATCCACCATATGCCGTGCGCACATGCGTTGAAGTGCTTTCAACAAGTTGGATATGGGGCAACAAACTATATTGATAGGCAATACAGTGTTGCTGCATACGTAGACACGTATAGTGGGAAGTTGCAGCCATTAGGTGCTGAGCATTATTGGCCGCCGGAACCTTTTAAGATGGTATGTAACAAGGACTATTTGCGCAAGCTGCAAGTGCAAAAGAGAACGCGTATACGGAACCAAATGGATGTTGGTGACACCGTTTATGCGCGTAAATGTGGCATATGCTCGCAAACAGGACACGACCGTCGTAAATGTCCTTCAGGTGGTGTGCATGCGGTGGTAATCCGGCTCCTGGTGCAAGTTCGTCGAATGTACCCAACTATCAAGGATACCCCTAGTCTTTTGTTTTGGTATTCTTTTTTGTAATACGTGTTTGTACTTGTGTATGTTGCAATATATATCAAATAAAATTATGTTCGACAATCTGGAATGAGTGAAGAAAAAGCTATTTAATTGCAGGAAAATATAATATGTAAAGCGTGGTTTGATAGTTTCATATAACAACACAAGCACTTAAACTTAACTTCCACTTCAATTAAAATAAAATTTAGTACAACAAACAAGGAAAACATTACTATAGCACAAACACAAACGTAGCAGGCCAACATAATAAAAATACATGAAATATGAAAAATACACTAAACACATACATGCCAATGTTTAGTCCCGGTTGCCATTTACTCTCCGCTCCAACCACTTAAATCATTCTTCCAGTTGTTCTTTTTCTTCTTCTACCTCTTTCAGTTTCACCTTCACCTCCGCAACTTCCCGTTTATATTTTTTTTTACGTTCCTTTTGTGCTTCACAATTCCATTGTGCTTTCCATTTTTCTTCTCCCACCTCCTTCAGTTTCGCCCTCATTTCTGCAATAATTCTATCGCTTTCACTTTGTGTTTCCTGTTGGCGTAAACACATATTATGAAGAAACTGCAGTTTTGCTTTGTAGTATTCCTGATAACATGGTTCATCAATCCATTCCTCAAACTCACAAATAGGTTCGCCGGGAACCTTGTAAAACTGGTTCATACAGTGCCAGTAGCGGCGTCCAGCTTCACCACCGTTCCAACAACTTTGCATCATGCATGATTTTCCACAGTAGCACTTTGGTGGACGAAGAGGTTGAGCCATATAATGAAATATTTGCTTTTAGTAAAAAACCCTTACTTTTAATGAAATATCTTCTTTTAGTAAATTTTGAGCATACAAAATAACTACAATGAGCCCGTTATTTATAGGCGAGACAAAATAATTAATTCGCAGTATAGTACTGCATTTTATGGAGTTGTCTTGTCGTTCTGAAAAAGACGAAAACCATGTGAAAAAAGCTGCTGTCTTGCAGAAAAATTTAATAATTAATTCTTAGTATAGTACTGCGGTTTATGGAGTTGTCTTGTCGTTCTGGAAAAGATGAAAACCATGTGAAAAAAAGCTGCCTTCTTGCAGAAAAATTTAATAATTAATTCGCAGTATAGTACTACGTTTTATGGAGTTGTCTTGTCATTAAAAATTTAATAATTAATTCGCAGTATAGTACTACATTTTATGGAGTTGTCTTGTCGTTCTGAAAAAGATGAAACCCATGTGAAAAAAGCTGATTTCTTGCAGAAAAATTTAATAATTAATTCGCAGTATAGTACTACATTTTTTGGAGTTGTTTTGTCGTTCTGAAAAAGATGAAATCCATGTCAAAAAAGCTGCTTTCTTTATGTTTCCTTTTAGTTCTACTGTTTGTTTTTGTGTTAGGTTTGCAAGGTTTGTGTTTGTGTTGTACTGTTTAAGTTAAATTGCTGTTCAAACGCAATTAAAATAAAATTGTTGTTAAAAGATAATTGTTACCATTATTTACATAATGCACTATTTACACAAAGTAAAAATACAAGTAAATCAGTGAGTCCCGCAGCCTGTGTGCTTCAGTGCTGCTGCCGGCCTAAGTCGCATCTCTTGTCGCCCGGGTACACTATCTGGATCATCCTCATCAAGCTGCCTCTTAATGTGAGGATGTGCAGCAGCATCGATACCACAGCTGGCAGGATCGAAAGAATAGGTCGCCGGGCCGTCAGCAACCTACAAAACAAATCTTAGCATGTGAAAAAGTATATTTGTATTGTACGTGTTGAGTCAAAAAACATTTTCTCACCGTGGTCTCGTCCGCCGCCTGAGTATATGCATCCGTGGTGTCCTCATCAAAGCATGTAGTGGCCTCGAAGATGGGCTGGGACGAAACCTTCATAAGAAAGTTAAAAATTAATTAATGTCAGCTCATTAAGGAAAACAAAACAAATTGAAATTTTAAAGTAATACAAACATACCTGCGCCTGTGGTAGATCCGCATCAACCGCTGGGGATGAGGCATAACTCAACATGCGCCCGCCATCCACGTCCCAGGTGGGCCGATCCTCAGCTGCGGTAGATGGGCATGCAAAGTACTGGTCTACATCCCCGTCGAATGTACCCGTGATCGACAATGCTCCTGACGGGGTGACCTGCGATGCTGGAAGAGATAGCTGAAGGCTGTACCACGGCATGTTGCTGGATGGCTCATCTACCTGAGGTCCATAACCCGGCTGATCATCTCCAAGAGCCTCATCTCCAAAATCCCCATCATGTCCCTCCACAGGTGGGCCAACAAGTGCCTCATAGCCCCCTTGCTGGGGACCACCTCCTCTCCATCCCCCACGACCCCCGCGACCCCGTGGGGCACCCCTGCCTCGTGGGGCACCCCTCCCTCGTGCCCTACCCCTGCCTCGTGGGACACCCCTACCCCGATGGTAGTCCTCTGGCGCCGCATACTGAGCCTCGTGGTCCAACCTCGCGGCATCTCTCGCCTGAAGCAGGGTCCGACGAGCCACCTGTGCCACCCGCCGACCATAGTCAACGAGTGCAGGATTGTCGGCATGTTGCTGCATCTCCTATCCCAACTGGTAGAGGTGATGATGCCCAATAGCCTGTGAAACATTTAAAATATTAATTAAATAACGCTATATCACAATTATAAAATATTAATAAGCCATAAAAACATACCAGTGCCTCGTGCCTCCCGGCGTATGGTCTGTAGCGATCGCCAAGTACATGAATGGGGTTCCCGATCATCAGTCGGGTGTGACGATGGTACCATGACGTATATAGATGAATAGTGGCCTCCTGGGTAAATGTAGGTGGTGGCAGAATACGGTGACCTCGCTCCTCCAAAGTATGGACCTGCTGCTCTAGCCATCCCATATATACAACGTCCACCCTGGCACGGTCGTCCCGCTGATAGTGTGTAGCCTCCCATCCAGGCTCCCCCGGTATAGGCTGGGGATGGTAAAACTGGCGAAGCACACGCTCTGTGGCATGATACTCAACCATATCGAAGAAGATCATCGGGACGGAGGTGCTCCAAAGCAGTCTATCGACTGAGCAAATATCGGGCAGCTGAGCTTGCAACTCGTCGCTGTATGGCATCCAGATGAACTACCAAATAATAACATAAAAGTGAGTTGCGCAACACAACTCAATTACTAATTCGCAAGTGTAGGTACATATTTACCTGTCCGTCCACCAGCATATCTAACACATCCCTGACAAGGGGGAGATTATGATGAGCATCGCTCCCTCGTTAGTTCCCACACCGGAGAATCCACCTAGAAGCTAGAGGGAGAAACGGATAAGCCTCACCGGGCGCAAGTGGTGGTAGAGGTGGCTGCAACGGCATGATCCGTTGCCAGGCCCAAACCTAAGATAAAAGGTTGATGTTAAATTTATGAGTCATTTCGACCATATAGAATTCAGAGTAATGAACAGAGTATTCGAAAATGTTGTCACCTGTAGGAGGGGCAGAAAACCACATATGTCCACCGCTGGGCCCATGCTCGCCCGGCACATGCTCCTATATAGGTATGCGAGAACAGCAGCATCCCAGCTGTACTGAGGTAAATCATCCAACCGCTGAAGATGATGGAGATAGCGCATACTCACAGTACTCCCCGAAGTGTTCGTGAACAAGATACACCCGAAAAGCAGGAGCAGCACCAACCGCGTGTACCTCTCAATGTGGAGATCCTCCGTCTCGCCGGTAATGTCAGGGTTCAAAAAAGCCATATGATCTCTAATGGCTGACAAAAGAACGCGACTGCCCCCAGCGCCACCCTGAGGTCTATAACCAGTAAACTGCCTCATCATATCGAAAAACTGGGCACGTGTCATGGATCTAATGTACTGGGGCAGTGCCACGGCCCGTCCATCTACGAGTAGCCCGTATAAAACCTGAACATCCTCCAGCGTGATGGTGGCCTCTCCAGTGGGCAAGTGAAAAGTGTGCGTCTCCGGTCGCCACCGCTCTACCAACGTCGTGATAAGAGACCAATCAAGCTGCATCCGTCCAAGCTCAAAAATAGTATAGAAGCCCGTAGCCTGTAAGCGCGCGACTACGCGAGCATGGAAAGGATGCTCCACGATGAACTCCCACAAATCATCAAGTCTCCTGGGGCGGAGAGCCTGATCCGATAGTTGTCCCTCCCATACATAGGAGGACCTATAGTCGCCCTGCAACACTAACAGCTGATCCTCGGCAGGTCCAGGATGCGCAGGCGGAGGAAAGGCCATGTCGTCTACTATAATTTAAACAAAATTAATTGTGTGTGTTAGTTTAATAAATTAAATAATTATTTTTAATATTGGACTGAGTAATTATCTATGGGTTCGAGGCTCGATATTTGAGGCTCGATAGCACCAAGCTATCCATAATTATTATGTGTCATTTTCAACATTTTTTAGAAATTTGTTTGTTTAATAAATTAAATTAAAAATTCTTGAATTGGACTTAATAATTATGTATGCCCTTTCAGGCTCAATATTTGAGGCCCGGTAGCACCAAGCTATACTTAATTATTATGTGTGTCATTTCAATATTTTTTAGAAATTTGTTAGTTTAATTATTTAAATTAAAAATTCTTGAATTGGACTTAATAATTATGTATGGCCTTCCAAGCTCGATATTTGAGGCCCGGTCGCACCAAGTTATCCTTAATTATTATGCGTGTGAATTTCAGTTACCGATGGAATTTTGTTAGATTAAAGAATTAAATTAAAAATTATTGAATTGGACTGAATAATTATGCATGGGTTCCCAAGCTCGATAATTGACCCCCAGTAGCACCAACTTATCCTTAATTATTATGCGTGTCAATTTCAGCATTTTTACAATTTTGTTAATTTAATAAATTAAATAATTAATTATTGAATTGGACTGAGTAATTATCTATGAGTTCCGGGCTCGATTATTTGAGT